TATATATAAAACAGCATAAACATGGTTCAACACTATAGCGTTAATTTTTCTAAAACGGCACCACTGTTCTTGTCTGTTTTGTTTGTTTTTTTTATTTAGTTTTATCTCATTTCCATTTCTTCTAACATGTTGTTTCCCCCCTCCTTTGGGTTGCGTTGGTGCTTCAGAACCAACCAAACGTATGCTTTCCTTCCAAGGGTTGGCAGAGCTGGCGCACCGTGAATATCAGTCAGGAGATTTTGAGGCGGCTGAACGCCACTGTATGCAGCTGTGGAGGCAGGAGCCGGATAATACTGGCGTACTGCTGCTGCTCTCCTCTATCCACTTCCAGTGCCGCAGGCTTGACAGGTGAGATGGCCACCTTTGCTCTGTCTTCAAGGAGCACGGTCTGTGGGTCTGCTTCACTGCTTCTCTTTGGGAAGAAGGATTGGTGGTGTGGTGTTTGTGAGGCTGTGCTCTCAGGCCTGCCTTAAGAGGCAGTTATTATTTTTTTATATTGCTAATGAAGGTTGTGGCCTTCTGATTAAAATACATTTTGTAGAGTCAACGTGAAACCAAAATTGGACCCTATTTACTTGTATAATCCATGTTCTTAGGGTTACTGTGTACATACAGTAATTCCAAAGAAAGTGATCTTTAATTTTACAAATTAATTTAACAAATTTTATGAAAGTTCACAGCCCAGTAGAAGTAGAATCTCATTATTACGGAAGTTGAGAAGTAGTGAGAACAGTTTTCCACAGCAATAACTGTAATCCATCCTCTGAATTTTAAAAAAAAATCTGTAAACATAAGACTGTTTATGCAAGAATAACAATCATTTTAATTGATAGCATGCTTATTTTCTCTCTAAAAATTTAAATTCCAAATAACCTGGGTCATTTCTTTAAGGGAACAGTATAGGGGATGTGTTTGTTGCACATGGTGGAAATATGTCAGTCTCATTCTCTTTTCTAAATTTTCATTCTTAATTCTGCAGGTCTGCCCACTTTAGCACTCTGGCCATCAAGCAGAACCCCATGCTGGCTGAGGCCTACTCTAACCTGGGCAACGTTTACAAGGAACGGGGTCAACTTCAGGAGGCCATCGAGCACTACCGCCACGCGCTCCGTCTCAAACCGGACTTTATCGATGGATACATCAACCTGGCAGCAGCGTTGGTGGCAGCAGGGGACATGGAGGGAGCAGTTCAAGCATATGTGTCCGCTCTCCAATACAATCCTGTGAGTTAAGCCTCAAAATGTCTCAGAGAATAGGTTTACAACTTTTGGTTAAAGCCTGGGAAACATTTTCCGACACGCGCTCTCTCTGTTCGCTGGTGGGAGTGTGCTCACCTCTGTGTGTGTGTGTATGCGCGCATGTGTCGGTGTGTGTGTGTGTGTGTGTGCGCGCGCGCACATCGGGGCAGAACTCCACCATGCATGATACAGAGAGCAGAGGAGAATTGTAAACGCCTGACCATGTAGAGACAGAAATGACATGCCGTCATGTAAACAAGATAAATAGCAAGTCTATTTAGTTTTTTTAATAAAAGAACGAGGTATAGACCTGTTCTATAGGAAAGGTAACCTTAAATGACTTCTGTTGTGATCTGGCGCTAGGCGTGTGCGATATGACGATTTTTGATCGTGGACGATAAAAATGTCTCCACAATCTGCTTTTGGAGAAATATTGTAATATTGTGCTACAGTGCACATTCTATCAGTTACAGTTCTGACGCCTCCGTCTCAATATACTGTACAATGCCACATGCATTCACATCAGTGTTAACTCAGCGGTAGAGTTATACTCACAGGACACAATCACAAAAGTACATTAATTGCTTTAAAGTCTTGCCGATTAAAAATTTCATTTGCGTGCTGTTCTGATGCGCTTTTCCAGTGCGCGTACACCTGAAGTGTGAACACACTAAAAGTGTCTTAACAGCACCTGATTGTTAAGTTATGTTTTATCTTCTGCGCATGTGCGAAGAGCACCATTTTGGGGTTAGCACGGCTTTTTTGTAGCTCAGTTCAGTCCTGTATACGGAGCTGCTGTGGTTGAACGTGTTTGAGCAGTAAAGAGTGTTATTGCTAAGAACAGTTGTGGTTATTGAGTCAACATTGATTACTGAACTAAGTTATGTATCGCATCTGATTGCGCTAATACTGCCAAAAACACACGAGGTTTACATATACAGTGGGTACGGAAAGTATTCAGACCCCCTTAAATTTTTCACTCTTTGTTATATTGCAGCCATTTGCTAAAATCATTGAAGTTAATTTTTTTTCCTCATTAATGTACACACAGCACCCCATATTGACAGAAAAACACAGAATTGTTGACATTTTTGCAGATTTATTAAAAAAGAAAAACTGAAATGTCACATGGTCCTAAGTATTCAGACCCTTTGCTGTGACACTCATATATTTAACTCAGTTGCTGTCCATTTCTTCTGATCATCCTTGAGATGGTTCTACACCTTCATTTGAGTCCAGCTGTGTTTGATTATACTGATTGGACTTGATTAGGAAAGCCACACACCTGTCTATATAAGACCTTACAGCTCACAGTGCATGTCAGAGCAAATGAGAATCATGAGGTCAAAGGAACTGCCTGAAGAGCTCAGAGACAGAATTGTGGCAAGGCACAGATCTGGCCAAGGTTACAAAAAAATTTCTGCTCCACTTAAGGTTCCTAAGAGCACAGTGGCCTCCATAATCCTTAAACGGAAGACGTTTGGGACGACCAGAACCCTACCTAGAGCTGGCCGTCCGGCCAAACAGAGCTATCGGGGGAGAAGAGCCTTGGAGAGAGAGGTAAAGAAGAACCCAAAGAACATTGTGGCTGAGCTCCAGAGATGCAGTCAGGAGATGGGAGAAAGTTGTAGAAAGGCAACCATCACTGCAGCCCTCCACCAATCGGGGCTTTATGGCAGAGTGGCCCGAAGGAAGCCTCTCCTCAGTGCAAGACAAATGAAAGCCCGCATGGAGTTTGCTAAAAAAACACCTGAAGGACTCCAAGAGGGTGAGAAATAAGATTCTCTGGTCTGATCAGACCAAGATAGAACTTTTTGGCCTTAATTATAAGCGGTATGTGTGGAGAAAACCAGCCACTGCTCATCACCTGTCCAATACAATCCCAACAGTGAAGCATGGTGGTGGCAGCACCATGCTGTGGGGGTGTTTTTCAGCTGCAGGAACAGGACGACTGGTTGCAATCGAGGGAAAGATGAATAGATGAGGAAATCCCAAGTACAGGGATATCCTGGACGAAAACCTCCTCCAGAGTGCTCAGGACCTCAGACCTGGCCGAAGGTTTACCTTCCAACAAGACAATGACCCTAAGCACACAGCTAAAATAACGAAGGAGTGACTTCACAACAACTCTGTGACTGTTCTTGAATGCCCCAGCCAGAGCCCTGACTTAAACCCAATTGAGCATCTCTGGAGAGACCAAAAAATGGCTGTCCACCAACGTTTACCATCCAACCTGACAGAACTGGAGAGGATCTGCAAGGAGGAATGGCAGAGGAGCCCCAAATCCAGGTGTGAAAAACTTGTTGAATCTTTCCCAAAAAGACTCATGGCTATATTAGATCAAAAGGGTGCTTCTACTAAAT